GATCTTGAATTTTAGTGGTGATCTATAGATCACATGATACGGGTATGTGTACCTTTGGGTACATATATATAATCCCTAATAATAATAATAATAACAATATAACTTATTATTTAATAGAAGTCTATGACAAATAGTCAAAATTGAAAGAATTTCAAAAAAGAAATCAGAAAAAAAGAATCTAGAATTAAAGAAAAAGAATGTAAAATTGAAAAAGGAGAACATAAGGCTAGAAGATCAAATTAGAGAAATGCAAAATAAATATAGTCAAATTTTAAAAAATATGAAAATAGTTAATCAAGAGAAAAACAGATAAAGAGTATGTTTAAAGCCTTTGCAGCAGATTAGCAAAAATAGAATCAATTTTTTTAAATATAAAAACTAGATAGCACTAAATAAATAGCCTAAACTATCCTATCGTCTAACTCTAACACTAACCCTAACTTAGGCCAAACACTTAATCATGTGATGTGATAACCACGAAAATATCACTGGGTTCCTTGTTCTTGAAACTACCCACAGAAATATGAATATAGTCGGCTCTCTCATACAGATTTATTGTAATTTTTAAAATTTTTAGTTCGTTCATTATAAAGAGAATTGATCGTACTTAATATGTAAGTTGAGTATATTACAGTAATTTCGGAAGTGTGTAATATTAACAAAGTTTATAAAATTTAATTTTAAAAGCGAACCTCTTTAACAATAAGTAACACTCTATTGTTCTTTTTTTAAGGTACGATTCAGCGCAAATTATGAGAAAAGTATTTTTCATTTAAAGAATTTTTATAAATAGTACGTGTTTATTAGCTAATATATTTGTGTTTATTTGAAATGTATTATCATACTTTAAAGCATATTTTTATACGCGTATTATATTAAAATTTTGACGAATAGTCATCATTTTAGTCTGTAAAAATTTCGAAATTATAACTTATAAACAGCATAAAATTAAAAGAATACAATTATTTTTTGAATTCAAACAATAATATTAGAACTAAAGGTTACGAAAAAATGAAGGGAAACGTACTTCTTTGAAACAGAAAGAACATTGAATTCGAGTAGAATAACGTTAAAGATGGTGTTTTTGTTTTCGTTCTATTAAAACTTAAAAAATTTTAAATTGTACGTATTATTAGAATTTTGCAAATTACTTGGGCTGATTAATACCCACCAATCTGGCACACATTCAAGAATTGCAAAAAAAATACACAATGACGCATTTCTTTTTACAAGAATTTAGTCCTATATTTGAAAAGCTTTATCGAATTTTTCTTATGTGTTATCAAAGAAATAATTGTATCAAGAAAGATGTCATTGAACGTGCTAAAATCGCTAACATCTGTTTTATTTTATGAACCTATTATCATTTTTTGTTGCCAAAATCGCTAACATCTGGTTTACGAACCTATTATCATTTTTTACTGGAAGAAACGAATCTCTTAGCTAACTTTCCATTATTATTATTTAAAATTTTGTTTAAATCTCATATTACACCATAGAAAAAGCTTTTATTAGCTCAATTCCACCTTTAAAATAACATCAATACTTTCTTTACAATCTGAAACTATACAATTATCAAGTATTTATAAAATTTTTTCTTTCATTATTAGATTCGTAAAGTACTTGTTAATACTGGAACCCAAACTTCTATTGAAACACCTTTACCATTAAAAAAAATTACATCATAAATATTATAATAGAATATTAAATTTCAAATAATGAAAAAAATAAAATAAAACAACCAAAATTTCATTAAAAACCTGTCTACAGCGTCCTTTACCTCTCTTTGTAATAGAAGAATATTTACCTTCTTTCTTATAATTTCATTATTTTCACAATTCATATTTTCACTTAATACAATGTTAGTATAGTCAGTAAAGCTTTCATATTCGCGCTTTACTTCTTTTTTGATGCTCATTAAACTAACAAAATATTTCAACCAATCTTCAGTAACAAGCTTCTTACTCACAATCGCTGGTTTATAAATTTTTTTCTATCTTTAAGAGCTAAAACTTGAATTCAAATAGTCGTGTTCAAGTTCCTTATTTTTTTTGTAAAATAATCTTTGTCATCATTGTTTTTTATTTTTTTTTTTAAAAAAAAGAACGCAATAATTGATAAAGGGTGTGTCGTTATTACGTAATTTCTTATTATTAGTAGACTAATTAATCCCTAGGTGATATAATCAGCGGCCAATCATATCATTTATATACAATATATAGACATGATAATTACTAATTCTCCCCCTCCCTAAAAAAATTATGTAA